GAATCTGAAGGTTCCCAAAAGATAACTTATTTTCTTTATTAAGTAAACCTCATTTATGCTTCTAATAAAAGTTGTAGGGAAAAAATTTCCGACTATAATGGTTATCAAAACGCTAAAATCGGCCCAGTGGATCATGATATATGCAAAATATAAATTAGAAAAATTTTATTATCTAAAAATATACTAAGGCCATACAAAAAATTTTTTTGGATTACATAACCTGGCCGAGTCAAAATTTGTAGACCTTTGAAAAAAAAGTTCATATGTAATTTATTATAAAATCTTTGGGTCAGTTTTTTAAAAAAAATTTTAAAAAATTTCATATTTTTTATACTTTTCTCTAAAAAAAATCATATGAAATTTTTTATAATTTAAAATAAAAAGCCGGGCTGTCAGGTCACTTTTAAAATTTTATGTTATGAAAACAAGAAATTTACTTTGTGAATGGCCTAATATTAACAAGGTCTTTTTTTTTTTGGTTTAGGAATTTCAATTAATTTAAGTTACAAGCTTGAATTTTCTTTATTTTTTTGGCAGTTTTTACATGGCATATATGGAGGTCAATTTAACTTATATTTATATAGAATTGATAAAACAATACATTTTTGATATTATATTTTTATTAAGCATTGAAGAATATATACAATATTTAAATTAGATAATTATTTTTTATTTAAATCTCAAAATATATATGATTTGAGCAAATCAATTCATTTGATTAGTAAGTAAAACATTTTTAATCATATCAATTAATTTGATCAGTAAATAAAATGTTTTTAATCATATAAATCCATTTGATCAGTAAGTAAAACATTTTTAATCATGTTAATTCATTTGATCAGTCAGTAAAATATTTTTAATCATTGTCAAAGAACACATCTCAGTCTAATAAAATATCATTTTTAATTTTAAGACATCTATAAATTTTAACATTTATCATTTGTTTTTGAATCCTGTGCTTCGATTCGCTTGATTATCTCTTCAAAGAACTAAGATCGATAATAGACAAAGAGTCAACAAGGATAAATGAATTAATCACCAAAAAAAAAATCACATACAATCCTGCGTTTAATGCGCCAAAAATTCTTGATCAATTTAATTCTATCTTTTGCTAATTCAACACCTAAACTTTTTAAATCTAGAGAATCCATTTCCAAAATATCTTTAAATCTTTTATTCTTAAATAATGGAGCGAGTTGTTTCATTCTAATTAAGTCTAAGTAGGCAGGAAAATCTAAATAAGAAATAAGGATAGTGAGTTGTATATAAATAAAAACCAATTTAATTTTATAAATTGTATATACCTTCTAAAGTTTCTTTCCCGTAAAATTGTTTCCAACCTTTTGCAAATTTTTTCTTTGGTATAGGTAATCCGAACTTTATTGCCTAAAAAATCCGAATATTCTTTAAATATATGATCTATAAATGAATTTATTAAATACAGTATTTGTTGTCGCAAATCTTATAAGAATTTTTAAACCCTTTCTCTAAAGCATTTTTTTTTAAGTAAACTTTTTATAAAATATATTTAAAAATTTAAAATTTACATAATCAACTTGAATAACCCAAAAATGTGATCCTAATATTGATCTTGTAAAATGGTCAGTAATGCCCAATTTTCTTAAATCATCATAATCCATTTTTGTGATTTCTTGCCATGTTTTTCCTTTGAAATAATGAGCTAGATTTTGCATATGTAATCCTTTAAGCCATTTTGGAAAATCTAGAAAAAGAATATACATATATCAGTGTTGACTCTAGATACTTAATAGAGCAATGGAAATATAAAATTTTTTAAAATAATTTAAAGAGTAATGAAACAAATGGAATGCCAACACTGATAGTATATAAATTTATTGAAATACCTTCTAATAATTTATAATTAACATGATTATATATATTTTCTTTTAGAAATTTGATTCGATTATCAATAATTTTTTCAGCTGAAAGAGCGTTTATACGATGTTCTTTAAAATGTAGACTTTTATCATTTTGTATATCAAATTTTTTATAAGAGATATTATCATGGCTATTCGTATTTGTAGCATTTGTTTCAAAACTTCGATTAGAATTAACTATCGCTGATTTAATGAAAATACATTTATCGCAATGAATATTTGAATTTATTATAGTTCTTAATTTGAAAACTGAGCGAATCAACGATGATACCATTTTATAATCGTATTTCTTGAAATTTTATTTTTGGGTTTTAAAATCGGAAAATTTTGCTGTTGTGTAACGTAATGGTGCACAAATTTTGATTGGAATAGTTAGCGTTAGCGCATAATGATAATGATAATTCAGGCCAGATAGACCAAATCCAGTTAAGTGCATCTATTAAATTTGACGTGAAATTAGTTAAACATTAATAACATAAATAAAATATGACAGGGTGAAACCCGCGATAAAAACCCGCGAATGTGGTTACTTTATTGATGCAGATCACTATCTAAAATTAACCTATCACTAACCCTAACTAAGTAAGATTTGCATCAATAACGTAACTACCTCCGTTGCGGGTTTCACCTAGAGATGGGCAAAATGCGCATTTTAGCATCATCATGCAAAAATGTGCATGATGCACGTGATCAAAATTAATAATAAGAAAACAGTGAAAATTGTACTATATCGAGAGTTTATTTAAGTTGCAAAAGATGTTTATTTTATTATTTTTTTATATTTATATATGCATCAAATACATGAAATCTGTAGCTTCGCAATTCTATTTGCAAATAAATTATTTATTTTCGCTATCTATTTCTTCATAATCTATGTCTTTGCTATCAGTTTCTTCAATATTGGAATAATCTTCAATCAATTCTTCATTTGCATTTTCCACCAATATTTTTTCATATGAATCATTTAGGTCATCATTCTCTACTGGATCTAATATCTCGATATCTCTTTGGTTTAAAGGTTGTGTTGTCCTATTATTTAATTGTGCTAGTGCTTTTGCTATATCAGAACATTCTTGTCGTAGACAGATAAGTTTATAGTTACTATATATATATACTAATTTTAATACACGTTCATTAGTTAACTGAGCTCTCTTTTTTTTATAGATATAAGAAAAAGCTGACCAATTGTATTTAGAGGCTGCTGATAATGAAGGAATTGAGAGAATTCTAGTAGCAAGTTTACACAGTTCTGGAGCTGAAGTTTCAAAATTTCCTTTTCACCAAGCAATTGAGTCAACTTCATTTACTGTATTCTATGCTAATTGAAGATTAAACATGCCTGTTTTAGTTTTGTATTCAATTAGTTGTTGCTATAAAATATTTGCATTGTTTAGATAATATCATTGAACTAACTGAAATATAATTGGTATACAGTTTGCAATAAGTTTTTGTCTATAATATTGCAGATCTAATAGATAAGCAAATGCTATAACTAGATAGAAGATTTTTTTTATTGACTTTCTAATATAATTTTGATATTACTATTAACTAAAAAAAATTATATTTAAAAATTATAATTTTACTATTGTAAATACAATAATTTGTTAAAATTAATATATAAAAATTATTATTTATTATCAGATTCTAACTGTTTATAATACCAAAGATAAAATAATACTAAATATAGTATATCAAATTCAATTAATGAAATTCCAACAACTAATTTATCTAATATTAAAAGACAGCTTTCAATTTCTTTTCAAAATACTTCATTCATAATTGCATTATTAATTAAGTCAGATAATTTTTCATAATTATTATATGTTATTTCTGTAAGTTAATTTAAAAGCTAGTTAATTTTGCAAAACTAAAGTAAGACATATTGCTAAAGATCCTATCTTGTTTTGGCTAATAATTTTAAAGATCTTTGATACTTATATATAGCAGATTAATATCATTACAATATTGCTATTAGAATTTGGTATAATTGAAAATATAAAACAATTTTTTTAGCTTTTTTTAAAATATTAGTACTTCATATTATTTTCATAATATCTCTAATTAAAAGATTTAAGCTATATGCTACATAGCCTAAAAAAATATATTGAGATATTTTAATTCTAGTAAGCACTACATCTTCTTTATAACAGATACATTATCTGTAATTAAAGCTGAGATTTCTAATAGTTTAACTTCAATAATTATTTTTTTAAGGTTATTAGTAATCATTTAGCATTTTGTCAGATTTCACTAGTTAGATGAGTAGTAAAAAAAACTGGTTTTGGAGTTATCAAATTATAATTAGTCTAATATTCTTATACTAAATTTAACTATCTATCTGATATAAGGCATATATTTGTGTTTTTATTAATCAAAAATTCGATATCATTTTTAGTTTCATTAAAAATATTATTTAACAATCTTGTAAAAGCTTTTTTTGACTAGAAAGCTTAAACTCTAGTTTTGCTTATTGCCACAGTTTTTTAATAAATTCTATTTCAGATAATAATAAAAAAAACTATAGCAAAATACTGATTTAGCAAATACTAATTCAAGTAATTTTTTTTTTCCTTTGAAATATAATTTGCATATACTGATAATGGAGTTAAAATAGAAGTATTTAAAGATATATCACAATAACTTTTATCATTTGAGTTTTTAAAATAGTTTTTTTTGTATTAATATTATTTTAGAATACTTTCACAAATATATACAAGCTGATTTTAGAGAATCATTAATTTGCTATCTATACTTTTTACACTGTCCTCTTTTTTACTTATATCTAGAAATATATCTGAGTTTATTAAAATATATCTATATTAGATTAGATAATAGTATTTCTAATACTTCATATACTAACAATTTAATTAAAATATTAAACAATCTATCCTTATTTTAATACAAATCTTGAAATATAAAGCAACTTCAATATCTACTTTTCAGTTACTTTAATATATTTTTTTTTATATGTATTAAACCAAGATTACTAAAAATCCTATAGAAGTAAAAACAAAGAAAAAGAATAGATACAAGTATTAGTATATGAAAATTAATCACTAAAATTTTTTCAAAGCTATAAAAAGAAAGCTAAGTAAAAGTATCAAATAGTTTAATATTATGTAAATAAAAAAAATTAATATAACAAATAATTTTTTTTATTTTTTTTTATTTTTCAATAAGCTATCCGCAGATTCTTTATTAAGTATTATTTTCATGTTACATTTGTTAGTAAGGATACAATTAGCTACATGTACAACTTTAGTCATTGTCTATTTACAAGTTCCACTATATAGGTTACTTACTAATTACCATATCTAGTATCTGCCTATAGATACTCTATTTAAACCCTCTAGCATCATGATGAAACTCTATTTTTAACCTAATATTTATATATCTACGCTAATTTTATACTGCCTTATTTAAAGACTACTCAGACCAATTTGTATCTCAAATTGTCTTTATAGAACTGGGCTCTATCACAAGATACCTACCTGCATCCTATTCTGATGAGGGCTTGTGGATAACCCTAACTATGCTATACTATATTCCAATTAAGCTAGCATATACTCTTATCGATATTTATACAGACTCAGTTCTTTCTATAGCTTTCTACCAGATTAGTCTAGTTCTTCTGAATGTTTTACGAGATAGATCCTCCCAAATCTAGTTAGCTGCCAAGCCAAATTGGTGTTGCTATTTGTATAATGTTACATCATACTTAACTTTTCCGTTATATTATAGACTTATTCGCACCCACTCAGTCTGCATTCTTCATTCCTAGACTTCTTCTAGATCAAGTATTAAGCTAGTATAACTATTAAAATTTATACTACATCACCTAACTCATGATTTCTACTATGCAGGTCCTCTACTCCTAGATCCTATCAAGATTTATTCGTATAATATTACATCAGATCTGACTTTTCCATTACACTTCCAATACCTGATTGATATTAGTACAACATGATTTATAGGGTTACAACTCCAGAAACAGACTGGGTTTACTATAAGTTGAATACAAAGATCTGAGTAATTATTCAAATTCGTTAACAGTAGGATTTGAACCTCAGACTTCTTATATGACAGTCTGACAACCTAACTACTATACTAAGATCACCAAACCTACTTTTATTTTTGTACATAAAAACTAATTACCAAAAAATTTTACTAGAGCTATAAAAAAAAATACAAGTAAAAATATAATTAATATTAAAAAAATAATAGTAAAAGATTAAAATATAGTGAATATTAAAAAAATATCTTTAAATACTTTAATTTTTTTGCATAACAAGTTCATAAAAAAATAAACAATGATAAGTATTTCATAATTTTAAAAATATATTTGACTTTAAATTTACTTTTTTTTTTTGCAAAGCAAAATATAAAAAAAAAAATTTCAAAATACAAGTGTACTTTTAAATTTAGTCACAAATATATATTATATACATATAAATATTTTACTTTATTAACACTTTTTTCATAATATTTTAACTTACTATGTAACAATTTTGGATTGTAATAATCATTATAATTATCATTTTTAAGTAGTATAAGCACTTAAATACATATTATAACTATGTATATGATTAGTATAATACTCTTATGCTTATCTCTAGTTTCATCTTTTTATAATAAAATTTATAAAATTTAAAGTTAAGTCAAAAATTACATTATAAATAACAACAAATAAATAATCATATATAATCAGTATTAAACTACTTAAATAGTTTATTAATAGTTTTGTAAAATCTAGTTATACTATTAGAGATACAGTAGAAACTTTTCAATAAATTTTTTGAATCTACTTAATTGTATATAATAATTAGTTTCATAACTTTAATTAATGATTTAACTTTATTCTAAGCATAATTTTCAAATTATATTTAAAATTATAAACAAATTATATATGTAACTAGTTTCTATATTGATTTGAAACAAATTCAAACTTTAAAATTACTACAATATTAATTATATATCAGAATTTATAAAATGCAAATAGTACTCTATAAATTCCCTTAAATAGTAAGACAATTATTGTTATACTAGTACTTGGATCTGAATAATTTGAATATCTATTTAGCTTATCTGAATATCTTATATCTTTATAAGTTATTCTTATTCATTAAGTATTGCTTATTAGTTATCTATATCTGTTTAAATTATAATCATCTAAATATTTGTTTAACTCATTCGAATAGCTTATTTACTTATCTGTTATCTATTTTATTTTTCTTTTTCAGCAAGCCATGCCTTATTATTTATTCAATGTAATTAAAAAACTATAAGAGTTACAAATGCCTAACTTAACAACCAAAGAAGGCAATGCATATTAACATACGAACATCAATAGTAAGACTCAACTAGTTACTCCAAAGGTATCTATTCATGACCTGCTATAATATAGTTTTAATTTAATCTAGAGTCCAGATTAGTTTATCCCTTCCTCATCGATATCACTATATGAGACTACTTAGATCATCATGACTTCTTGCCTATACAGTTAAATATTACCAAACAGATAATACCCTTCTGTATAGTGAAAAGGAAAAATAAAAATACTATATATAAAGAACTGTATTACTCTACGGCATATACTATATATATAAGATAATAAACATATAAAAGAAAACAAAAAACAAAAAGAAAAGAAAATGTTGCTCAAGTACTATCTCCATAGTTCTCGAGACTTTTGTAAAAATTGTATAAAGTACTGATACTACAACATACTTTATATCTCTAAATTGTTAATCTCTATTCTGCTACCGGGAGGTGTTCTAATTCATTACTAGCTATGCTTACCTAATCATGTGTATTATTGTTTACTTTTGGGTTGTTTATAAATACGTAGTTTTTACTAATTTGGATGTGATATTGTTAATCCTTTTTCAGGGGTAGGCTGAATTCCCACAAATGAGAAAAAAAGAAAATCCAAAGGACCGAGGGTGATATGTGGGTACAAAAAACCAAGTAGGAGTAAGTGAGTGTAAAAGTATTTGTCCCAGTACAAATACTGTAGTGTGTCTCTTCTTTCATCTCTCGACTTCAAACTTTTGTAGCTTCTCCTCTTTAACTTTAATACTCTGCAAGACAAACTTTCAGCTAAAATATTAGAACTGTCCACTTTAGCTTTCTGCTACTTATTGCCTTAAAGGTCTAATGGGGCTATACACTACGCGCTTTTGTTTCGAACTAATATTTTACTGGGTTTCCTTGAGTTTAGTGCTTATTTTATAAAAAAGTTTTTGCTCCAGTATTGGTTTTGGTGATCAGCGGAAAGAGTTGCATGTCTGTTATCTATTTTAATTCAGATATTTATATTTATTTAAATAATAAATATTAATAAATATGATTTTTTAAAAAAACTTTTATCTTAAATTATTAATATTACTAGATAATTTCTTAATTACTTATTTTTAAATTTTATTAAATTATATATTTTCATATATTTAAGATTTTGCCATATAATTTTTTAGATTTTGCTAATTTTAAATATTTAAATATTTTAAGAATTTACTAAAATAATTTTACTAACTAAATTTTAAAAATTTTTAGTTAATATTAATCTTAATCTTATTTAAATTTTAACATATATTTTATATTTTTTAGTATTTTTTTTGCTTATAAATTTATAAAAATTATAAATTAATTTGTTCTTTCTTAAACATACTATCTAAGAATTCTAAATTTCTTTTTAAAAAAAGAATTCTTCAAATAATATAGGATTTAAAGAAGTTTTTTAGAAGTTAAAATATTTTTTGTATCACTAAATAATCTTACTGATAATGTAAATATTGCTAGAATAGTTAAATATTTTCTTGCTATTTTTGCTAAAATACTATATTCATCTTTATAAGCATACTACTATAATAAGAAATTAAATT